CGCGGCTTATAGCGCGGCCCCCCAGACGCCGTCGCCGCGCACACAGCGCCGGTACACGGGACGGGCCACGTGCGACTGCCCAAACTGCCAGGAAGCCGAGCGGCTGGGACCGGCCGGCGGCCACCTCAAGAAGAACGTGCACAGCTGCCACATACCCGGTTGCGGAAAAGTGTACGGCAAGACGTCCCATCTCAAGGCGCACCTCCGATGGCACACGGGCGAGAGGCCGTTCGTGTGCAACTGGCTGTTCTGCGGCAAGCGGTTCACCCGGTCCGACGAGTTGCAGCGGCACTTGCGCACGCACACCGGCGAGAAGCGGTTCGCGTGTCCCGTGTGCAACAAGCGGTTCATGCGGTCCGACCACCTGGCCAAGCACGTCAAAACGCACAACGGAAACGGTGGCAGCAAGAAGGGCAGCAGCGATTCGTGTTCCGATTCGGAAAACAGCCAGAGCGCGGCCGACGGTTCGTCTCCGCACAACCAACACCAGCAGCAGCAGCAACATCAACAACAGCAACAGCAGCAACAACAACAACAACAACAGCAACAGCAACAGCAACAGCACCAGCAGCACGTGCAACCGTTGCACATGGCCGACATGGTGGACGTCAAACCGCCGTTGCCCCTGAGCGGACCTGCCGGTCTGGTCCGATGGAGCCCGGTAGTCAGTTCCGTGGGTTCTGTAGTGCCACTGTCCCCACCGTCGTCGCACGCCATCGGCTCGTCGCCGTTCCTGTCCGTACAACAGCAGCACAACAACAACAAGGACCAGAAGAGCTTCTGCAGCTGGACGAATGCCGCCGGCAAAGAGCCGAAAATGTACCAGGAGAAACTGGAATGAGCGTCGCCTCCGCCGGTGCAACTGCCACCGCCGCCGCCGACCGTCGCGTTTGGCGGCGATGGCGGCGGCGACCGCGTCACCGGCGGTGGTGCTACGCCAGGCCCACAGTTGTTTTCTAGTCTCCACTACAAAAACGGACTCCAGCAGCAGCAGCAGCAGCACAATCAACATCATCATCACCTTCAGCAGCAGCAGCAGCAGCACCACCAACAGCAGCAGCAGCAACAACAGCACGAACAGCAGCAGCAGCAGCTGCATCAACAGCATCAGCATCACCAGCAGTACCTGCAGCAGCACCATCAGCATCACGGCAGCAACCTGGTCACGCATTACGCGGCCCTCGGCAGTGCATTTTACACGTACTGACGCACTATAATCTATAAACGGAAAAAAAAAAACGGTAACATTTTGCGGTAAATCTTAATTCATTTATTCGGATGTATACCTACGTATGGCATTATACAAATTACAGACATTTTTTTGTCCACTTTTTTAACACTCGCGGCGTGTTTTTTAACGTATATATTATAATATATATATATATATATATATATAACTGCGTGTTGCCACTTTGTACAAAAAATATTATTATGATTATTATTATTATCATTATTATTATTATATCATTCATTATCTTTATGTGTACATATTTTTATTGTACTATATCTGTGTACATAATTTAATGTTTTACTGTGAAAAAAAAAACAAAAAAAAAATCGTATTATTATTACATATTATAAATAATATATTATTAACGTTTTTATTAGTGTTTAACCCGACAAAGTATTTTGTCCGCTTCACGTGCATAAAAAGGTATGTAATGAAGTTGAATGAAAAAAATCTAATATTATATTGTGTACGATATACGTCCAAACGATTAAAACAATTTTTCATTTYATTAAAAGATACACCGCGGTTTACCTAAAAATACKTTTCTGGCGACCGAGTGTGTGTGTCGTCGTTGAACCGCGTCAGCCGCTTCTGTACTTATATTAATAATATTGTAGTCGCCGATATCGATTTAATCAACTCACATCAAAACGATATACATAATATCCTATTGTATAAATATTATGGTTGTTCATATATTAAATGCGTAAGAACAGTGTACGGATAAAAAAAAATGTTCAACTACGTTTCAATATATATATATGATATTATACAAGTACTGTATTTTGTATTACCTATGTATAATATATAAATTATATACGTATTGATAATTATACGAAATAAATTATAATTTTTTTTGTTGTCTCATAATTGGAATTTGTTTCTCTCACTCTTCTCATCTCCTATACACGGTCGCAAGCACATATAGGTATAATAAGAATAACTACGTCGCGTCATTTGCAGACGGTATCATATATTATTATATCTATGTGTATATACTTGTTAAGTATATAATGGTACTCGCAGCCTACCTACATTTACATCTAAAGATACATTTTATACCTGCACTATAATACGTGATGCATCTACAATGTACTTATTGGGTCATATAGGCGAAAATCTATTGGAATTTCAAGGGGGGGGGGGCTAAATTACAAAAAAAAACAATATTCAAATGATATGATAGAAATCGAAAAACAAAAAACTCATTGTGTCGCGTATTTTGTTGAATTGGATCATAATACATTTTAACGGGCGATACCCGTTAGCGTACATTTAACCTTTTTGCGACTCGTTTGCGTACATAAACTATACCAAAAGTCTACTAAAACCCTTAACAAAAATAAGGTTTAAGATTGTTTCAAACATTTTCCTTACATCTTAACAACAGATCACCTRATTTTAAAACACGAAACTCACTATATAGTTTTYAATATTAGAACAATGTTTTCCTCTGCGCGTTTCAAAAACATTTGATATTTGAATGTCCGTGGTGCTACACGAATTAAAATGACTATGCTATCTCGATAGCATCACACGTTCGTCTAAATAATAGGCATATATATAGTAACATACAGCGGTCGTCAATAACGCACACATTTATCTAAAATCACATTGTCGTTTAGAACCGCATCACTATAGTTAATCAATTACGTGTATCTTATCGAAATTTGCTCTACAAGTAACAATAATATAAGTCAAATTTAATAGCTGTACGCAAACGATTCGTAATTTTTCAGGTCAAAATTAGTATTGACCAGGTTTTCACGTTTTTCAATGTACGCAAACGAGTTGTCAGTTTACAGGTAAAAAATTGTGTATACTGTTCGCAAACGAGTATCATCGATTTTAACAGCCTATAAGTACACATAAATACAACAAAAAAAAAAAAAACCATTAAAAGAATAAAATGTATTCAAATTATGTTAACACAATAATTGTTCTATTATAATAATGACGTTAATCGTGGTTAGACCTAAGATGCAACCACGGTTGTAGCAGTTGCAGATATCTATTAGATCATGCATTTTTAGATGAAATTCCTATCATAGAATTTAAAGTAGTGTTACCACATATTGTAATCTAAATTTTTTTTCATAATGATATAAATATAATACAGCTGCTACTGTACAATTAGTTAATATATTATATCAAATATTTTCACATAAGACACGACAAATTTTTTTTTTTTGGGGGGGGGCTATTACAATATTTGAGAGGGATAAGTCCCCCCCATTTCCGCCTATGTATTGGTTGTTCTTTTATGGTATATATATATATATTGCGCATTATTGTATATGTAATGACTTTATATATATATATACATATGTGCTGGTCTTTTAGCGCGTATATAAGCGATGGTTGAGGGTTTTTTTTTTTATCGCCTTTCCGTGTCGGCAGCCATTGTGGTTTTTCGAACGAAAGTAAAAAAAACCTTGACGACGAAAAGCCAAACACACGACACTAAATTATATTACGAGCAGCCGAACTCCGCCAGTGTTAATATACATGTTATATATACATACGAACGCTGACAAGTGTATTATATCATATTATTTGTGTCGTGTATCGTCGTGTGCAGTGACTTAGACTATATAGCTGTGAATAATACAACCTACCTATATATATTTATATATCATATAATATGTATGAGTATATTATATACTTGTACAGCGTGACACGCTATGCCGTCAGCTGTGCGACAATAATAATTGAGCGCGCCCCAATTAAACGTTTTTTTTTTTTTTATTGGAATTTATTTTTATTTTTATTTTTTTGAAAACCACGATCGACAGTGGTTAAAAATCCGATGAAATATACGATTGGGCGAATGACGTTTTTAACAATATACCATCGCGATGGCATGCTAATAATATAATGCATATATAGAACGAGCTGTGCACAACAGTGCGCTATTGTTGTTTTTCGGGAGATTGCACGATAAAAAGTTTTCAATGACTTACACCAACTATATTATATTTAATGTAAAAATAATGAATATGGGACTCGTAGTTTTTTGATAAACTTATTTTTTCTCGTCGTCGTCGTCGTCGTTGAGATATGACGTTATGTCGATACTTATAAGAGAAAGCTAAATAAAATGTAACAAAATATGTACCGCACACAAAAAACTGTTTTGTGAGTGGAACAGGACCTCTCAGGCTGTATAGTTATAGGTTAGACTCCAAATTGATATACAATATAATATAGTTGAGAACATTAAACGTGAAAAATCGTTTTTAACTTTGTTTGATATGACTTAATATGAAAAAAGTTCTCATTGTTTTAAAATCCATTAGTTTTGTGTTTTTTTCAAATTTGAATAACTTTTTTTGTAGTTCCGATATCGAAGAAGTAAAAACGATAATTCCCAGTCAAAACGTTCGTTCCTTTGTTATGTCTATAGTTTTTTTTTCGGTTCTTTCCCGCGCAAAACAGTTTTTACATTTTTTGTTAGACGAAGACAACACGGTTCGGGTATATAGCGGCATCTTAGGACTGACTATATCATATTATATTTTTATATTTTATATCATATACTATTATGTTAGAACATTATAATACATACCCATACAAGAATAAAGATATTTTTATAATATCACGTTGTTATATAACTTATATAGGTGTATAATTACCTGACTTTTTCGGGCAAGACTATCGTAGCAGTACTTATATCGTTTTTCGTTTTTCATCAGTTGAATTACATTATTACACGACCAACATAACTTTACAATAATAAATTATTAATTTCACGATTTTCCACTTCATGCATTTGGAAATATTACGTAAACGCATGACTCTGGAAACAGCTGATTCAACGAATGCYCAAAGCCAGCGTAATTAATTCCTGTAATATCATCAAAAGCGTCGTTTTAAGAATGATCCAATAAGTGCAGCTGTTGTTATTTTTGTTAATGACAGTGCAACCACTAATCGAACAGAAAATTCCCTCGACGAATAAATTCTCACTTGTTGTTAGGTCAGGTCATTATACAATTCTTATTATATTCCGGGAGAACTTTACTAGTATAGGTACGTTCCTTTTTATTTATATTGATGACAATAATCTCATCATTTTGTCCCTCAAAAACTGAGAGAGATGCGTTCTGTTGCAGCTTCTTAAGCGACGAGATGATGTATACTTTTTCTCCGAGGTTAGGGTCATCGAACTATTCAAGTACAAACTCTGAAAACATCAAATAGTAAACATTAAAAAAATATTATATATGTCGCATGATACGAAATTCAATTCATTTATCAAAACAATAATAAATTAGAATAATATAATATGCTGACTAACGATATCCTGCAGGAATCGACCTAATTATAGTAGGTAACTTATTAAAACTTATATTGTATTTATCAACACATTATTTTTATCTATCTAGCCATATTTCTTATAACAATTATTACGATTATTTATGAGATGGCTTTGACCATTTATATCTTCATTATTGATAAGATAAAAGATAAAACGTCAATATTACCTTAAGTCTTGTCGTATAGGTACGCCACGCAAAGGCTCGACGGATACAACAGATATATTTCGGTTTCTGATTTTCCCAAACCGTCAAACGAGTAAATTATTGATACCCGCTGTATAATATGAGTCTATTTGAGTTCTCCTTTTGGTGATCACGATTTAACGAGTACTGCACAAAAGGATAATTAAGCCAAGTCCAACAGGATTTACACTGTACAACTCAACAAGGTGATTTTACCCTCAAACTGACCACGATAACGAGTATTGGATGTTCGGGGGTGAGACATCTTTAACCTATAGGCAAAGTCTTACTCTTTATTCTCGATTGACCACGATAACGAGTACTGGACGAGAAAATAAGTACGAAAGTGTTTTACTGCCTTTTCCAAAGTGTCATTCACCACAAACGTCTCCGTACGCAAAAATAACAAAACACTAAAACTGCAGGAGTAAAGAAAAACAAACTATAAGGAACACTCGGTTAAAAGAAATTAATTATAAATGTAATAAAATATATCAAAAAACAAATAATAAAAAGAAACGTAAAACACTGTTCGTTGGCTACGACACAATAAGCGAAATTATTCCAATATAGTTATCCCGTCGCAGATGTGCAGAGATCGTTGTAATTTTGATGACTCGGCTTGATTGACTTCTGCTTCGTATACGTAATCGATATTTTAATATTTTATAATTTTGTATG